CAGCCTGAGCAAGCATGAGACCCCATCTCTAATAAAAGCAGAAAAACTAGCTGAGTATTGTAGAAGGTACTGCTGGTCCCAGCTACTTGGGAGGCTGAGGCAGGAGGATTGTTTGAACCCAAGAGTTTGAGGTTGCTGAGCTATAATGTCATTAACACTCTACCTAGGCAGTGAGAGACTCTCTCAAAAAAAAAAAAAAAATTAAGGCAGACACCATGGTGCACAGCTACTTAATCTCAGCTACTTAGTAGGCTAATAGGGAAGGACTACTTGAGTGTAGGAGTTTGGGACCAGCCTGGGGCAACAGAGTGAGACCCCATCTCCAGAAGAATAAATAAATAAAAATCTGCGAGATTATTGTCTAAACAGTTAATTTGAAGCATTTTAGTTCTCTTTAGGGACATGTATTTCTCCAATTAAAAAAAATTTATATTTTTTCTTTTACTGGTGCACTATTATCAGAAAAAAAAAAAAGAAAGCAAAATAGGATTTTTGAATCCCATTTATATGCCAGACTGAATATGTTTTTACATGTTGGTTTAATTCCTCACAAAATCCTATGAAATATGTCATGGTTTTGTGTCCCTGTTGTTGCTTAGAAGAAAACCAAGACTGAGGGAGATTTAAAAAGTTACCCCTGCGGCGCCTGTGGCTCAGAGGAGTAGGGCACCGGCCCCATATGCTGGAGGTGGTGGGTTCAAACCCAGCTCTGGCCAAAAACTGCAGAAAAAAAAAGTTGCCCCTGGTAGGTGTTCTATTAAGCAGAAAAGTAGAGTTTGAATGTATATATTCAATAAGCATTATATTGAGGACCTTTTTTCTATGTGCTGCTGGAACCTGTATTTAGTATCAAGAGTACAAAAACTTAAGACCTAATTTTTGTCCTTAAGAAACTCAGTCTTAAAAATAAGATAGACAGTAGGATAATGACTCCTATCACAAAGATATCTAAAAAGTGATTTGGGGAAGAGTGGAGGGAGCATCTGACTTCACTTTAGAGGATTGGGGAAAGCTTCAAAGAAGGATTGGACCTTTGATGTTTGAGTAGATAGCATTAAAAATTCCTTTGATAAACATGAAAATCTCATTTTACTTTCATGCTTCATAAAATTTTAAGATAAATTAATTACTGTTCTTAAGAGCAAATCAAAGCAATGATAACTTTGGGATGTTTTTTCAAACTACATTTGCCCTCTTTTCCTATATTCTAATATTCTCTTGAAGGAGGAGCTTGTCTTAACACTTCATAATTGTAAAAGCTACATTGTATGCCATGGTTTAGATGTATCATCATCTATCCAACTAGTCTCCATTTTTGATATTTGAAATTATAATTTTTGTTACTATAAATGGGACTGTATCACACATTCTTTTATATTCACCTTTGTGTACTTGTGTATACCCTTAGTATATCTCCTAGAAATAGAATAGTTAGATCAGACATTTCTACTATGGATTTATATTTCTTCTGTCATTGTCTTCACTCCTCACTTTTTAAAAAATGCTCTTTATGTGTTATGTTATAGGGATTTTTTGGTATATACATTTTGTTTTTCATTTTTGTTAACGAGTAAATAAAATACAGGTTAAAATTTTGGTGGTCTTTTGACATGTAAACTAAAGTTAACATGGTATCCATAATCTGTATGTGCCTGATAGTGTGGTTTAAGATAATACCCTGGAGAGGAAAGAATGCCAGTAGAAACAAGGAGATATACATTATGGTCTCATTTTAAACAGTGACTAATTACACTAGCTAAAAGTCATTTTCTATTTATTTCTTTATTTCTATGATCATGCCACTGGAGAACAGTGAACTATGATCATGCCACTGTTTTCCAGTGGCATGATCATAGCTCACTGTAACCTCAAATTCCTGGCTTAAGTAATCTCCTAGTTCAGCCTTCCACATAGCTGGAACTACAGGCACACTCCACCATACCTGGCTAATTAAAAATAAGAAATGGAATCTTGCCGTGTTGCCCAGGCTGGTCTTGAATTCTGGCTGCATGTAATCCTCCTGCCTCGGCCTCCCAAAGTGCTGAGATTACAGCATGAGCCACTGTGCCCAGCCTGAAGTAATTTTCTTCATGTGTATATTTCTCTGTGAACATAAGAATAGTAGTAACTTATTGTCTACTTGTAAAGTGAAAAAATATGTAGTATATATAAATCAGAGGCCAGAGACATTATTTGACATATTTAAGGTCATATAGTTTGAAAGTGGCAGTCAGGTTTTTAGCACAGATCTCACCTTGGGCTTAGGTGATTCTCTTGCTTCAGCCTCCCATGTAGCTGGGATTATAGGTACCCACCACAACACTCAGCTATTTTTTTGTTGCAGTTTGGCTGGGGCTGTGTTTGAACCCGCCATCCTTGGTATATGGGGCTGAAGCCCTACTCACTAAGCCACAGGCATCACCCGTGATCATTTTTTTAAACATGCCTTTGAATTCTCCCCTCCCAAACAAGTTAATAGGAAAAATTATAGGAATTTTAAAGTGAGTTTTAAAAATCAACAAAGGAAGAATGGATTCTGAGAGAAAAGATAGGAGAATATTGATAATGAAAGAGAAAATGATAGAAATAGTAGCAGAGAGCTAGAATAACGTTGTATTCCTAGATGATGTTGGGATGTAGGAAGATAAAAGCAGAAATAGAAATGTTAGAGAATATAAATATTGTTAATTCAGTGGCTTGTTAGCTTTAAGAAGGTAGGGAACTCTCTTAAAAGTGATTATTCTCAAGGATGGAGTTCATTTTAGAGACCCTCCCATGTATATATTTGAGGCTATTCTCTTAACGAACTATTTATTATTAGCTTACTTGCTCCATAATGATTCCAAAGTTCACAAAAGTGTGTGTCCTAGTTATATTGGGACTTTTCACACTAAAACTAAATTCTGGGACCTGAGTTAGAATTGAAGGGGTTAGGGTTGAAGGTATATAGGTCATGTAGCAAATTAACTATTATGTTCAAGTGCCCTATGCATTAATGAAAAAAACCCTCTCATATTTTGTAGTGCTTTTCTTGGGCTTAAAGTAAGATGACCAGATTTTAACATTGGTAAAGCGGGACACCATTGACCAGGGGGTAGGGGTGGGGTGTCCTTAATTAAAAATTTGGTCTATATGGAGGAACAAAAATTTTCATAGAACGCAAAAATAGTATTGTTATATATATATTTTTAATTTCAACATAAGTATAATTTACAAATATAATACATTAAAAAAAATTATGTATAGGGCGGTGCCTGTGTCTCAAAGGAGTAGGGCGCAGGTCCACCTGGGCGACCTTGCCCAGGAGGGGAGTTAGGGAGTTTACATTAGCCTTTTCATTTCCAAATAAAGTTACATTAACCACTTCATTCCCAAATGGAGTTACATTAACCTTTTCAGCAGCCCCATATATTCCCTTCCCGTTGTCCCGTAGTTCCCTAGTTTATCATGCATTCTTTCCAAAAATCGGGACTTTTTTAAAACTCTGCAGGATGCAGGACAAATCGTTAAAAATCAGGACTGTCTGGCCAAAAGCGGGACATCTGGTCACTTTAGCTTAAAGTGATCTCTTTCTATCTTAGATTTTTACTATATTCAGCTGACTTTATATTTTGTCAAGGAGTAAGCACATTAAGAAATAGAGTATAGGGGGGTGCCTGTGGCTCAATGGGTAGGGTGCCAGTCCCATATACCGAGGGTGGTAGGTTCAAACCCTGCCCTGGCCAAAACTGCAGAACAAAAAAATAGCCAGGCATTGTGGTGGGCTCCTATAGTCCCCAGCTACTCGGGAGGCTGAGGCAAGAGAATCGCCTAAGCCCAGGAGTTGGAGGTTGCTGTGAGCTGTGATGCCATTGCACTCTACCGAGGGAGCCACAGTGAAACTCTGTCTCAAAAAAAATTTAAAAATCTCAGAGGTAGAGGACAAAGCTCTTGAGATAACTCGGATAGTT